CAAAGTTTGTTACCTCCCAGTATAGTGTATATCTAAACTGCATAAAGCCAGATTTATAGCACGTTCATCTCAATAAATAAACTGTCCAAGATCTTAAAACCTTTTGTTTCCATCATCAAACATGGACTTCAAATATACTGCCACGTTGTTGTCTTTATCGAGGATTAGTATTAATGAATGGATAAGGCAGAATTACAAATATGTTTTGGAAAACTTGAAAGCAAGATTTCTTTCTGATATTTCAGTCAAATCTGTTGACCTTTCCACCACACTTCCTACTACCATACCAGATGAAAAATTAATATTACGCTTGAAAGATATTGCTATGGAATTATTTAGTTACTCGTACATTCGTATAATTTCGTGTATACTCGAGAAACGTCTCTCGCCCTGGGAACCTACATTTCACGGGAACATTGCATTCCATATATGGAAATAGTATGCGTATAATTTCTCTTAGCCTATTACGTGCTCACTTTGCAGTCACATGATCGAATTATGATGTCACTTTGTTATTCATTTTTTTAGTGTGCGTGTCTTGTAGTTCGGAGTTTTTTGGTGTTTTATTCCCGAATGATGTGTGCATTTTCATTGATTTCGTCCCCGTTTACCTTCCTCGATGGATGGGAGTGCACTGGTTGCTTGTGGTCGTCCAAGCCAGATTTTTGTTAGTGTTAAACCGGTGTTGTCAGTGAGAGTCGACATCGTCGACCATTGATTGGTGCAAACACCGTCAGTTTGTTTCAGGGTGATATCAATTGTGCGAGAAAGTCCATGAAATGCTCAAATATTTCTCTTACATTGATGGCAGCAGTGGGAGTTATGTCTGGTGAGTTGTGTTGTTGGTTTTCAGTTCATGCTGTGGAATTTTTGTGGTTTGTTCAACGACTTTGTCACCAATAAATTCCCGTAGTGATACGAACCTAGACACTGACGGATCGTTTGATATTGGTCGACATCACAGTGTTTTGTTGAGGTTTAACGAGCTGCATTTAACCTGTGTGCTAAGCTGGTTTTCTTATGATCTTCTTTGTCTTTGCTGTCAATTTTCATGCTATTAAATCAGTAAAACTTCTCTTCTGTTCTTGAGCAGAGAAAATCCATTATCTGGATTCTGATAGCATCTTTTACTTAATTCTTTTTGTCCTATATATCACGGGGGATTTCTTCTCCTCTGAAGTTCTCCACACGTGTCAGGGGGAATCTCGTCTGGGCTCTATATCTCGTCCCCTTGAGGTACGGGATTGGGAACATCTCTAAGCAATACATACACAAATAGCTAAACTTCTAATTCAAAGTCTAATCGTCTCTTCTCTTTTCATTGGGTTAGTCCAGGTCGTATCATATTGCTTCCGATGTCTTCCGCTACACAAGTCCTATTCGATACTCGTCCTTTCTAAGGGACTCAGAAGTCTTCATCTCTTACGTGTTGTTCATCGGTGCCATACTGTTAATGGCGTTAGTCGTCAAGCGTGGTTTCTGAGTCGTCTGTGCCATCGAGCTGTTAGTTTGGTTCACAAGAAAGACACATCTTCGCCATTTCATAGTTCTTCACAGGATGTCAATGTCAAACACCTGCTTGGGTTCATCCAAAACGTATTACGGGGGATCTCTTCTCCTCTGAGGTTCTCCACACATGTCAGGGGGGAATCTCGTCTGGGCTCTATATCTCATCTCCTTGAGGTACGGGATTGGGAACGTCACTTAAACCTTACAGTCAAATAGACGCACACAACAAAATACATTTCAACTCTCGTCTTTGGTCAGTCAGTCGAGTACTCTATAAGACACAGCGCCCTGTGGAAAAGTCCCCAAAGACTATCGCAAGGCTGACCCAAGACTCTCCTAGACTGCCCCAAGACTAGACCCTAGACTAGCCCAAAACTGCGTCTGTCGTGGTGTACTCGCCAAGACCAACTAAAACAACTTTATTCACTTTCAAAACCTTAACCAATTACAAAGCAGTTTAAAGACTCAAAGGCGTGGCCTTCACACATTCAACCAATCCAACTAAGTACTGGACACGTCATATCTTTTGATTAATCATTCACTATATTACTAACTGCGAATACCAACTGTCAGAAATAGTAGTCTGGATAGCGACGGTTATATCGTAATTAGTTCCAAATCACTAAGTCGAATTCCATCCAGGACCTCGCATGAGCCTAAACGACGACAGACATAACACAACCATTCGCTAGTCAGTCAGTCAACAGATACGCAAAAACAATCAGTAGTGTCGATCAAATGACAGTGTTGGTGGATAGTGAGGTTGCATTTAATGTTCCCGATTCTGGGATAAAAATGAGTACTCCGTTATCTGCAAGGAAAAGGGGAGTAATACAATTGGCGACAAACTGTATCAGATGAGCAGAAACGGCTCGAAAATGACAATGCTGGGTTAAAGAGAGCTTGGAAGTCGTTTCATTTGTCTGAAACTATGCTTAAGGCTTCATTTTTTGATAATATCGACAAAAATGGTCCTATTTCAAAATGGCGGGAACAGGAAAGTCCCGATAAAAGCGGGTTATATTTAGATCAATGTAGTGCTGTTGCTAAGCAACCCAGTCAGACTGAAAGGTTCAGTGACGAGTTTACTTCCGGCAAAGAAAGTAAATATTGCACTACAAATATTTCAGTACTAATGGGTGGAATAAATAATCAAGTTATTGCCAGTAATGCAGCCACTAAATCTAGTTTTTCAGAGAGTTCATTGGGTAGTTTTTATCGTGCTAGATTGACCCCCCAGCGATACGATGGTAGTGTGTCATGTGATATGTTTCGGATTAACTTTAATATTTTTTGTGATATGCATAATTTGGGAGAGAGTCAACGCAAAGAGTATTTGCTGGCAATGTAAACAGGACCAGCTTTACAGTTATTAAGCACGGATGACATAGCACAACGGACATATAAGGATTCATGTCACCGTTTGGCCTCACGATTTGGTTCTATTGGTAAAAGAGGTATTAGTAGCTTGTGTTTAAAATAGACACACCGAAACGAGGTTGAACGTTTACAGAGTTTGGCTCAAGATATGCGTGAGCTAATTTCTATTGGTTACCCTGATGTTAGAGGGGAGATGCTTTGTATTGACAACTATTTCAATGCTATAGATACACCTGTAATCCGCTGTAAGGTTAATGAGACAGACAGGAAGCCAGGATGTAGTACGTGAAAACATACATGAGGAAAACTATTTGACATTAACCAAACCCCACTCTGATTTTAAAAAAGCGGCCTGGTTTTAGAATTCTTTGTAACAGTGATAGTGGCCCTGATCAGCTGTCTGTTTCAGTTGGTATTGTAAAAGGGCTACAAAAATGTGTAGATCACATTTTCGTAGGGATTGTTCCACCAGACAAAAACCTAGCGATTTAAACACAGAC